TAAAAGGAGAACCCGCCGTGTCCGGTCATCAATTGGGTTATCAACGGGTCCGTTTTTATTTCTTTTAATATTGGGTAGGCGGTTATTGCATCCGGGAAAAATACTTTGGTGGTGGCCGCTGTTTCACCACTTTTATACCTCTGGTTCCATTCGTCAAGCGACTCCAATCGGATTTGTCGCTTGACGAATGAGACTGGGCATTTGCTATAATTAGTTTTAGTTTTGAGGTTCGTTGCCGCTTTTGCCATAATATCGGCGCGCTCATTTCCTTCTATCCCTGCGTGGGCCTTAATCCAAAAAAGACTGAGCCGTCCTCCTCCCTCCGTTATTCTCTTGATATTTGTCCTTGTTTCTACGGCCAGAGGATGTAGGGATGTGGTGTTTTTTACAGTTTCTAAGGCCGATAGGGAATCGCAGTACACATTAGTTTCTTCGGCGCCTCTCTTTATTGCCTGTTCAGTGGCTTCCTTTAGCGCTAGAAGTTCTGCCTGGTAGACGGTGCAGTACTGATCCAATTTAAGTTTTCGGGTACTTATTTCCGTGCCATTTTCCCACAGAGACAATGCCGCGCCTACTTTCCCCTCCAACTTACTGCCATCTGTATAGATATTTAGGCCTGTGGTGTTGTATTGGTTCAGTTCTGCCTCGTCCCCCAGGCATGTGAACTGTAATTCTTCATATTCCGCCGGGTGATTACAGCTTCCGAAGGGCATCTGCGTCTCGATTTCCCTATCGCCTACTATTCTCGTGGAATAACCTCTCTTTATAATATAAAGCGAGGCTGCTTCCCTGACTCTTATGTCGAGAGGAAGCAGGCCCGCGAGCAGAAGGGCTGAATTTAGGGATACTGTTCTGTATGCCTTGACAATCTTTTGAGCGAAGCCTCTCTGCACAACATCCAGACGCTTCCTTATTCCCAATTTTTCTGTTGCCGATGCCCAAGCACTCGCGGCATAAAGTATTGTCGGCTCGACCACGGCTGAGTAAATAGTGCGAATTATCTCGGGCTGCAGACCCCACTGGAGTTTGGCAGCACGAGACAATTGTTTATAAAGATTTAAAGCTTTCCGGCAGATATAACTGACGTGGGAGCTAAAGGTCAGTTTTGCATCGATAATCAGTCCTAGAATCTTCATTTCATCGGACATGCCAATGTCGATCCCCCCCATGTTCAGGCGTGGTGTGTCATATTTTAGTTTACGGGTAATTGTTATTGCGGTAGTTTTATGCGCTGCGAATTTTAATTTATTTATGACACCCCACTCTTGAACATGTTGGAGTGCGGCATTGGCTCGTTCTTCTATTTCTAGGGCTGTCTGTCCGTCGAACGCCAGTACGACGTCGTCCGCGAACGCTTGGCAGTAGTGACCCTTCTTTTCCAGTTCATGCAATAGTGGGTCAAGCAAAAGATTCCACAATAAGGGGCCACCTATGGAGCCTTGTACACATCCCTTAGTGGTTCCCCTATCATATTCTTCACCGGCGTATTTAACTTTCACCTTCCTATCTTCCAAATAACTATCCACTACTCTTCGCAGGTTAATGGGACATCTTTCCTCAGCCAATCGGACTCTTATGGCCGGCCACCATGCGCTGTCGAAGGCTCCCTCTATATCTAGTGAAACTAAAGTTATTATGCGTTTCTGTTTTATTTTAGCATGTATATGCTGCATAAGAGTATAGAGGGAGTCTTCGGTGCTCTTCTGGGGCATGAATCCATATTGGCGAGTACTAATCCTTGGCACGAGATGGTATTTTAATCTGGCAACTATCATTTTTTCGTAAATTTTCCCTAGCACAGGTAGTAGACCGATCGGTCGATATGATTTCGGTTCGGTGTAATTGGTCTTTCCCGGTTTCCTGAGAATAACTACCGTGGCTTCTATCCATGGTTTTGGAAAATGGGGAAGGTTTTGTTGGGTTTTAGTGGGTAGTACTGGCTTTGCCGGTGAGTCCCACACCTCGTGCGTAAATGCATTTCCCAACATAAAAAAAAAGGAAAAAAATGATAAAATATAACATAATAGGTAATAAAAATTGAAAAATATTTATAATCATTAATTTATCGATAGCTCATCACCTATATATGGCGCGTTTTCGACCGGAGGCACAGGTTGACCTGAAGTGATGCTGTGACCGCGCGCTCTCCGCCCTCTATCTCAAAAACGGTTCACCGTATAAAAAAAATTTGAAACAAAATTTGTAGAGAATTTTGTAATCTATAATATTGATAATAAATACAAATAGCAAAAAAACCATAGGAAATGAGATATTTACAAAAAAAGCGCAAAAAAAACGATTTTTGTGACTTTTGACCATGAAATTTTATATGTATTTGCGTACATCCTACCATATGTAGGTTTTGAGACAACTTTTAGGGTGTCAATATACAAGTATTTACAGACTTATAGGCGGGTATCTCGAATTCCGAGGTGAACTTACTATAATGACTGGACTACAATGTTTAAAGTTTTTCCACCAATATAAAGGATTCAGGGCACAAGTAGCCGTGCAGTTACTCCTTCCGCTTATACTGAATTCCAGACTTGAAATAGCGCTCCTTGCTCTCAAACGTTCGCTATAAATTATGCTTTTAGCCAAGATAAATGCCAGTTTGCTTCCACTTGACTAATTTTCTTGGAGAATATCTAACAACATTATAAATATAAATGTGTTTTCCGTCTATTCCATGGAATATATTCGAGAACGATTTAGTATACATTATTATTAAATTAAATAATAATATCTAAATGACGCTCAATATTTACATTAAGAAACATATTATGTTACTTTGCTAGCTCCGCTATAATTTGAATATAAACTTAGAGTTGTATACTTCACTCGTATATATTAGTTTTTATGTGTAAAAGGATTGAGCCTAAAAAATGTTAGCAATTTCACGCATCAGAGGTTATTAGATCAGGTAAAAGATTTGAGACTCCCACCGTATGTATACACAATTTTTTCACTTGAATTCCTAAAATTTCTGCTTGTCACTGATTATAGAAATTATGACGGTATAGTCGGTTGTCGGTCTGTGGTTAGTCAAATTAACCATATATGTATGAGTAAAACATCGGTATTCACAAAATGTATCCTTACTTAGTAGTAAGTATATTATGTTAGTGGGTAATAAGAGAAATTTATTACTAGCATAAAAACTGGTAGGAAATTATTAAAAACCTTAAGTAAGCATAAGTAAAACATGAAATTAGATTTATAATTGTAATGAAAGAAATATAAAATATATTTCTTATAATTTATAATAGAAATTACGATAAAGAACAAATTTACATTACTTCTTATTACTCAACTTTAATAAAAATCAGCGTTTAAATCTTTTATGGAAAAAGATTACCAGTATAAAATGTGTAAAATATTCCAGTTGTATTATAATCCAGGAAATAGTTTTCTTTAAAGTTCTAAAGTTTACGAGTGATTGAGTCACAATTATTGTAATATCGAAATATCTTTGTCATCTCTCAATCTATTATATAGTATTAATAGAAAATGCACCTGATCAATGTAGTGAGTGCTCTTTAGTGATTCCTTTTATTTTAAATAAAACTATCTTTTCGGATTATTTCGCGGATTTATTTTGATTTTTGGTTCCCGACGTTTCGAATGCTTTACAGCATTCATGGCACGGGAGAGACTGAGGTGATGCCAGTATATAAGTGTATAATCTATGGAGGTGATAGATGTCTCGAAGGTATAGTTGTTACAGACAGCCTACCCTCAAATAACAAAATGAAAATTGCACCAATTACCTTACAATATTTTTAAACTTTAAACATTTTTATAATTTTAATTAGTTTTATAATTGAATATGGAATATTATTTATTTAATTTTTGTTGTTATTATTATAATTATTACAATTTAAAAAAAAAAATTAGTAATCTATATTTAGTGTTGCAATTATTATATTTATAACCATAAAGAAAAATATGAAATATAGTATTAATTATTAAGCCATATAATTGTTCTATGTGTAATTTAAAAAGTTAAAATTAATTAAGGATGTGTTACAACCTTCAGTCAAGAAGTAGGTTATGGTCGAGATAATAGATGTCGCTACATGTCGCCATCACCTTTACTTTTAATGCTAATTTAATCGTTTGGTTTCAACAATAATTAGTTGATAATTATCTCTTTCTCTTCCTCGAGAAATGATTGATTAGTACTATTTGCGTGAAACGCGCACATCGATTCGACTAAGTTAGTTTTATTATAGGTAGTTATAGCGAGTGTACCTTAGGAGATTGACATATAATATTGAGGACTTTTCTGTAGGCCTTTTCAAGACCTGCAAATTTTAATACAATATTTTGATGTATGTCTTAAGGTTTAGCTAGCGGAAGATTTCTCCACTCTATAAAACCAGTTATTGTGTTTTCCCGTGGGAAAGAAAGATTTTCTTGAAGTAAAAGGTATCCTAAATATTGACCTGAGTTATCACTTCACCTAATTTCATTGAAACCGGCCATTACTTTTTGCGTGAAACGCACACACACAAACAGACAAACAAACATACAGACAAACAGACAAAATTTTTAATAACTATTGTTTTGGGGTCTATATTGTGTACATAATACCTTACAGTCATTGTTTTTAAAAAATATTTCATGTACAGATTTTGCTAAGTTACTGCTCTTTTATAGTATAGATTATTATAGTACATATAAATAATTACTCATATACTAAATATTGTGTATTCTGCCCTTTTTAACGTCCCACCGCTGGGCACGGCCCTCCCTTCAATACGAGGGGGATCAGGCCTTAGTCCACCACGCTGGCCAAGTGCGGGTTGGCGGACTTCACATGTCTTTCGAAAACTTGCTAAGTTCAAATATTATTTAGGATAAATCTACGTACAGCTAATTAGTTATTATGGTGTACTATCGCGCGTGCTACCCGGAACCTAATAGCGTTAGCGTACGAAGTTTATGAAACATGCAAGTTTAAAGGTTATTATAATGATGAATTAATGTTTGTATAGCGTGAGGCGAGCGATGCAGAGAAGCTTACGATAAAGGCAGCGACACGGACAGCGAACGGGCGCTACACGTGCGAAGTATCAGCTGATGCTCCCTCGTTTTTAACGGCCCAAATGCATGGGTCAATGTATGTTGTTGGTAAGTGAAGCATGTTTATTTTAAACTACCTCGATGGTCTAGTGGATACCATGTACGGCTGCAGGAGGTTCTGGGTTCGAGTACCGGGTCGGCCCAAGTTTAATTGCAGAATGTTTCTGTCAAGATATTCTTCGTAAGAGCCCGAAGTTGGGAAGTGGGTAATGTGTTACCCCCGTCCCTCGGAGAGTACGTAAAGCCGTCCGTCTTGCGCTTTAACTCTCACCGGTCGTGTCAAAGTATCGCCTATGACTGGACTTTTAGATTAAAAGGACTGGACTTTTAGATTAAAAGGAATAGAGAATGTACTCGTATTTGCACATACACTTGTGCACTATATTATCTCCTGCGCATCTGGCTAGTCTCAGTGAAATTGGCCACCGTGGCCGAAATCGGCCAGGAGGACAATATTGTTTTTTTTTAATTTTGATATTTACTTCATAGCTTAAAACCGGATCTCTTGCTGATAGCAGAACTAGTACTAAAAGATTTCGAAACATTAAAAACCAACTGGGCACGTTTCGGCAACTACTTTGTCCATTGCTATTTCTAGTAATTCTTCGCAATATAACAAATGCCCTCAGAAATCACTTGTTCTATCTAAAAAATAAGTAGATACGAGTAGAAAATAGTAACGGATTACGCATTTTATTTTCTTTCGTAGCTTTCATATACAAGACTAACGACTCGCCTTCGTCCTCTTGTCTCAATAGCTCTATTAACATATAAATACAAACATGTACGAGTAAGAAATTAATAGTCTAAGATTCCAAGTAAGATTGTCCTTTGCGTATTTGCTCACAGGTCGAAAACTATCTAATTAGAAGGACAACAAAGAGGTTTTTCATTTTCAGTAATATTTTTAAGTAAATATGCATGTTCTGCTGTTACTACTGTTACTGTTCAATGCTATAAGTAATAAAAAATATTGTTGTAATAATATGAATTATTTAATTTTGTGCATTGTATTTAACAAATAAAACATATATTAAAATCAGTCTTTTAATATTTAAATTTACGTAGAATTTTATAGTTTAATTAGTACATTTAAAAGTAATAACGAGCGCGCCATTCTACGGCAGTTATTCGTGATACGTACAGCTGCAAATAATCGACAGATGTGCCTTCCTAAAAGCTCATTTAAACCATATTATTTCCATTTTCAGGGAATTCTCGATTTCTTTTCATTCAGCTGACACATTTTAAAACTACTTTAGTTGTTCCCGCGACTGCGTCTATTTCTCAATTCATGGCAAATAATAAAGGAAGACAAACAAGTTCAATCATTTATGAAGTACGTTTTTATTATGACATAAATCTACGTAATGTAGAAACAGTCGTAATTTTCATACAACTTTTGTTAATGACGTCCGAGCAAACTTCTGAAGTTTATGGAATACAAGTTAAATCCTAAGGTAATTATTGGATTAATATACAATGTCTTTTTTTCGAGTTTAAGATACGCGGTAGCGTGTCCAGCCAAGTTCAAGCCAAATGAACTGGCGACGCAGCACCGTGTGTATATTTCGAGTCACACGAACTATTTGGAGTTACTTTTCACCTCGTAATAACTCAAAATCTACGTAACATAAACTCATGAAATTTGCTTCATTTATTAAATCCCCTTAGATTAACTAGAATTACCAATTTCATAAATACAGCTCAAACAGTTATTGAGATAATAACGTAATTTTTATCACTCACTGACTGACATTTAGTAGTAAAACCTAATCCACTTCCAGATAACCTAGAAAGTTGAAATTTATTGTCCAGATGGGTAATCGTGTGCATACTAAGAGAAAAATTCGTTTTTATGTAAAGAAAAAAATAAATATTTTTTTATCAACACCTTGCGCCTTGCAAAACATAATAGCAATGGCTTAAAACCTAGTTTCTTCTGAAATATAATAGAAATAGCAATCATAGTAATAGCAAAAACTATTTCTTTCTCAGAAGAAAATGTTCCATGATGATAAAATAACATTTTCCTGTTCCACCTTATCCACTAACGAATAGTCGCAAAATTATGAAAAAAAGAATGAATTTACACGTTACTCTGGAATTATGAATAATAATAGTTTCTTTACCAAAGGTCATGATATCCCATTAAAAACAAAATAGCATGTTTTGTCATTGTATCTTTATATCCCATTAAAATCATATCAGTCTTAATACTAAACTGTTATTATAATACAAAAGTGTGCATTTATGTATTATTATTGAAACTGTAAAATATTCACCCATAATCTATTAGGGCTTCCACGCACATATATGTAGTGTCTCAAGAGCCAATAAAACACACTTCCTAGCACTCAGGTAGATTTATTTAATAACCAATAAATACACATGTACTCTCGCTCACAGCTGGTAAGCGTCTACCTCCACTTACGCGCCTGCGCATACACTACATCCCTTCTTTATTTTAATTGAATTTAAATGCTTCAAAATTACAATCAAAGTTTCAATATTCCAAACCTCTATAATGTGATGGATAACTAATCAAATGTTTTAAATATTATTATTACAGATTATGCACAAAATTTAAATGAACATCCTTGATTTTACTTAATCTTATATCGGTATATTAAACCTATAAATGTAGTTCATAACAGTAAAAATCGATAAAATAACATGTATATCAATCAACAAAGAATTTACGCTAGTTAATCATATTCCCCTAAATCATTATTACTACTATTTTGGTTAACCACAGTCCATGTATCATTCACTTTCTTTAAATGAACTACATTTCGTCGATACTCCTTCCCGGTTTCATCATTCCGAACACTGACATCACCGCCACTCACATCTGTTACTGTATGCGTAGTAGGATTAAAATTGGAGCTCAACTTATTATCTTTAATCACATTTTTCACCAATACTTTTTCTCCTATTTCCAAGTTGTTATCTGTGGCTTTCCTTTTAAGGTCCCCATACTCCTTCCCTTTTTCCTTCTTTTGCAGATCTCTGTCTCTCACTTCTTCATCTATTGTCTTGTATTCTATATCTGGTACTGCCGGGATTTTGTCTCTAAAGTGCCTTTTATAGAATAATTCCGAGGGAGATTTGCCTGTAATAGAGTGAGGAGTACTATTATACATCATTAAATAATTGAAGATGTCCTCTTTCCAGTCCCTGTTTTCAGCTTGGCTAATTTTCAGACGCTTTAAAACGTCTCGATTTTGCCTCTCAACTTCCCCATTCATTTGAGGCCAATACGGGACTGAATTATATAAACTGATGCCACATTCCTTACAATAGTTTTTGAAAATCTCGCTAGTAAATTGATTTCCATTATCACACGTCAAAGTTGCTGGGTAACCTAATCTGGAAAATATTTCTTTCAAGACTTTTATCGTATCAAGAGAAGTTATACTGCGCATAACTTTAATTTCCTTATATCTACTATAGTAATCAACAAGTATCAACAGGTAATCGCGACTAGGAAGAGGCCCCATGAAGTCCATCGCTACATCAACCCAAGGTTCAGCGGGAAGTGCTCGTCTTTTCATTGGATGCGGCAGAGTAGGATTAGATACAAGTGTACAACCTCGACAAGCTTTTACTAGGCGTTCAGTATCTTTGTCAATCCTAGGCCACCACACCTTTGTTCTAAGGCGAGCTTTCATCGCCACTATGCCTGGATGACCTTCATGAGCCGCCTCCAGTACTTGTTTACGCAGATTATGGGGTATAACTATCCTAGTTCCCCGAAGAAGAATATTTCCATTAAAACATAGTTCATTTTGTATGATTTTAAAATTATTAATGGAGTCATGCCACCTATTATTAAAAATACCTTCTTTGACTTTCAAAATTTCCTCGTCTTCAGCAGAAGACCCTTCAATTTCATTCAATGGGACCGCGACAGGTCTGCTGTAACTTATAATTTGGTTAATATAATTTTCAGAGTCAAATGGTTCCGACGAGGAAGTTTTGCAAAGTCTGGAAATTGTGTCCGCTATGTTGGATTTACCTGGACGGTAGATGACTTTGTATCTGTAAGCCTGTAACCTAAGTACCCACCGTTCTATTCTGGCACATGGTTTAGAAGTTCTTCCAAAAATGGTCTCCAATGGTTTGTGATCGCTTATTAGTTCGAAGTCTTTGCCCAACAGGTATATTTTAAAGTGCTCCACCGCCCAAACAAGCGCTAAGGCTTCTTTCTCTGTTTGGCAATATCTCTTTTCACAATCGGTGAGAGCCTTATGACCATAAGCGATCACACGGGGACCATCTTCACCAACCTGAACTAACACTGCGCCTAGCCCCACAGGAGAGGCATCAGCGATAACCTGAGTTTTATCCGAAGGATTATAATAGCCTAAAGTTCGGATATTGGATAAGGTTTCCTTCAGAGCTTCAAATGCCTCATCTTGCTTGGGTGTCCAAAATTTCTGAATATTTGACTTTCCAATGCCTAAGCGTAACAGTTCTCGCAAAGGCTCCGTAAGGGTAGCTAAATTAGGAATCCATTTACTCACAAAATTAACCAACCCCAAAAAACTTTGAATTTCTTCAGTAGTGTTTGGTATCCTACTAGTTTTTATTGCAGTCAAATATTTTCTAAGCGGCCTTATTCCACTAGCAGAAAGTTCATGACCGAGAAATTCTATTTTTTGAGTTTTATAAGTGCTTTTGCTTTCATTAAGAAGGACGTTATTTTCCTTCAAAACTCGCAATACTTTACTTAACCTCTCGTCATGTTCTTTCTCTGTGGCACCATGCACAATAATGTCGTCGATAAAGTTAAATGTTCCCTCGCATCCTAACAACATCTTTTCTAAAATTTTTTGGAACATCTCCGGTGCACAAGAAATGCCAAACATTAACCTTTTATATCGATACAGTCCTTTGCTAGTACTGAATGTAGTAATATATCTACAATTTTCATGAATTTCGAGTTGATGAAAGGCATTTTTAATATCAAGTTTGGAAAAGTATTTAGCTTGACGAAAATTAGGTAGCAATTCATTCATTGTTGGAAGGGGATGATTTTCTCT